ATATGTTGTTGATATGTATGTTTTTACGTAATTAACAAAAACATGCATTCCGATTCTTTTGTCTAGGTACTGTATATTAATCTAACTCTTCTTACAGATCATACAGATTAATTGATCTTGGAATTTTTTTTCTCTTTCATTCATTTATTAAAAATTTTTTATATTAAATATGCTGTGCATTTTTAAATGCACTAGTTAATAATTTGAGTCAATTAATATTATAATATTGTTAGAATTTACAATTGATCCAATAAAATATAAAAATGACACTTATTATTAAAAATATTGTTATGTCTGATTGGACAAAATTTCCAATGCTGACTGTAGCTGTTCTACTTCAAAAGCCTTAGTCATTTAAATTTTCCATTAATTTCATTAATAAACAATAATAATGCAACATCCTAAACTATAGGCTAGGAGCCTATTTAGTTTATTTTATTAATAAATTGTTTGACAAAGTCATTTGTACTATATGATTAAATATAGTAGAGTTTTATACAAAAATATTTAATATTCTAATGCAACCATCATCACCACAGCTTGCTAATTGTAATTTAGTAATAGATTTTTTAATTGGATCTTTTGATATTGAAGTGTTATTATGGATGTTTGTGTATGATGATGATGCTATTATTATTGGTGATTTACTCCACATTAATCTGTTTATACTTGATACATGGCATTCACTTTGATTTTTTGATTTTATAAATTTAATTGATTAGATAAAATGAGAATTATCTTTGAAAAAATAATCAATAATCTAATGGTATACATACTTCTTCTCAACATTAGACACCATCTTCCAATCTTTTAAGGCCTGATGACTTGAGTGATAAAACAAAATTTTGCCATTTTCTAATCCAATTGAAATCAAATACCTGTTTATTTTTTATGAAATAAAAAAATATCATTAAAGTAATAAAAAAAAAAGTATAATTGTTTATTTATACAAATCATATCAAAATACCCATTATCAACAATAATAGGTGAAAAATCAACAGCTGTGACTGCTTCATTCAATTTAATTGTTGCTACGCAATTCCAATTATCATTTACATCATTTGCTCCTTCATCTTTAGCTAAATCTTCAATCCAAAATTTGACCTACAAAAACAAGAAACAATGATTAATTAAATTTACGATAATTAAATATATAAATTGCTTACTGTTTTATCTCTTGAAGCTGTAGCAAATAATTTATCATCATGGCTCCAAGAGCAATCCCATATTATACGCCCATGTGCTTTATTTTTAGTTAAATATTTATATGGTAGATCTTTAACCCAGCCATTCATGTGTTAACAAATTAAATTTTATAAAATACATAGTGATTTGAAATTGTTAATTATATTATTATAGACAGGTAGATAAATGAGCAAATAAATAAATACACACACATATATAGAGATAATAAAAAAAACTTACTTTCATTACATCTTTTGAACAAAGTCCAAGATCGATCTCTTGACACTGTTAATAAATACTCATCATTATGAGAAAATTTTGTCCGTGTTACAGTGAGTGAACTAGATTGTAATGGATTTGACAATTCTTTCATTGTTTTTGTATCATAAAGTCTAATTACTGCATGTTCAGCAATTGTTGACTATATTTATAAATTTATTGATAAGTGGGCAGGTATGTATATATATTTATATAATAGTCAAGAAAAAACAAATAATATTTATTTATTTACCCTACATGCAGAAGCCAAATATTTTCCATCATGACTTGCATCAACACATACAATTTCATATCCATGACCATATCTAGATAATAATAAAACAATAATAAAGAAAAATTTTCCTTTTGCAAAAACTAACTAATTAATAATATATTTACAATTTATCAATTTCTGGCCATAAAGTGTGCTGCAGAAGATGTTCTTCATATGGTGGATGATTTAAAGTCTGCATCAAAGAATTTGGTGCTGATGATGAATGTAAATAATTTTGTCTGCTTAAAAATTCTTCTGATTCTGCAATTTCTGATAATTTTTCTATATCACTTTGAAATATAGCTTTATTTGATAAACCTAATGCTGGAAGATTTGCTCCTACAGGTTGTGTTGACTATTTAAATGTATATATTATTCATATATATTTATTTGTAAAAAATTTTTTTTTAAATATCAATAAAATTTTTGATACAAAACCGATATATATTCCAGATTTTTATTTATAGATAGTTTTGATAATGATCTAATAAAAGTTTTTGGTGCATCAAATACTCTTAATATCTAAGAATTTTTGTTATAAGATTAATATACACAAATAAAAATATATTTGTGCAATTTTTTTTTTAAAAAATTAATCACCTTTTCATCAGCTCCACTAACAAATCTCCATTGGTTTATAAAAGCAATACATTTTAAATCATAACCATGAATTTGTGGACGACCAATTTCATGCCAAGTTATAATTTTTCTATCATTATCTATATCTCGACACCATGGAGCAAAAAGTCTTGATGTTTGATCAAGACTTTAATAATAACAACAATGAAATATATATATATAATTAATGGTTGTTTAAGCACTTTAAATTTACTTTGAAATATTTGTAAATTTTACCTCACAGAAATAAGGTATTGAGATGTTGGATTCCATGAGATGTCTTGAACTGAATTAAAATGTCCACTTATTGATATTTGTGGCTGCCAATCTTGATCATCTTGATTTTTTAAAAAAAAGATAATAGTATTATATATTATAAAATAATCAACATGAATAAATATCTTATTTTTTTAAAAAAACTTAACTACTTTGATGATTAGATAAGTTTTTCCATAAATGAAAAGCACCAGTATGTCCATGAGCTAATATGTAATTCCCATTAGGACTAAACAGACCACCAAAAAATCCTAAAGTATAACCACCAATTTCGCCTACTGTAACCTTATTATATAATAAATATCCAGGAAAAAAAGATTGTGTGTGTGTGTGTATGTATATATACATGTAGATTAATTAATATATTATATAATTACCAGATTTACCCAAACACCTGTTTCAATTTCAGGCTTCCATATCATCATTGATTTGTCAGATGAAGCAGTGAGAAGGGCCATTGGTTGGTGATAATAAAAACCTCCTTCTGGATCTTGTTTTAAAACAAATATATCAGCAAAATAAATTATTAAATATTTGTTTTTAATTAAATAATTACCTTTAATAATACATGGCGGATGCCAATTCACACTATAAACACAATTATCATGTCCTGTTAATAAAGCCTCAAAGATTATATTATATCTTTTTCTAATAACATATAAATATTTAAAAAATTATACAATGATTGTAATAATGCTAAATAATGAAATTTATAATGTATTTTACATTATATTCGCATTTAAAGCTTCAGCCTCAGATACATTAATGTCTATTATATGAGCTTTAGTGCTCAATTGTACCTTCCTATCAGGCCTTTTTTTTAAAAAGAAAAATTTGTCAAGAATCATTAAAATATACTAATCTAAAATAAAGCATACAATAAGCAAGTTATTCATACATTGTATTTTCAGATAAATTAGTCATCATTTCCTTCAGTATAGATTGATTGCTTTCACCATTTTCATCATTTTTGTTGTAATCACCTACAATACCAATACAAGACATTTTCCATAATCTAACATATTTATCTTGTGATGCACTTGCCAATAATAAATCACCATCTTTTAGTTTATAATGTTTTTGAAATGCTAAATTTGATTCAACATTATCTTTTGTATAAGTTGCAAAAGCAACAGATCTGATCCAATTTTCATGGCCTTGCAATGACAAAATTTCAATAAACTTTTTAATCCAAAAATTAAAATATATTAGATGCTATATTTGATTGATATTAAATCACATTTAAATAATATTTATTACAAGTCACCTGATTATTTTTTTGTACAAACAAAGAAATTTTTTTATCAGTACTACCACATGCCAATATTAAAGCTATTTAAAATTAAAATAATTATTTCATATGTATTTTAAAAAATTTCATAGATAAAAAATATGATAAATAATAATGATAATATTACCCTTTGATTCAGGAAGATAAGATAAAGCTAGTGATAATGGATATTTATTTTTTAAATTAATTGTTTGAACACATTTTGTTGAATCTAAAATAAAACAGTGGTAATATTACAAAAAATAAAAGCTGATCAATAAAGTAAAATAAAATAAAATAAATAAACACAATACAAAGTTATAGCCAAAACCTTGTGTATCATTTATAATAGTTCTTTCCCAAATTTTCACAGTTCCATCAGCTGAACCTGTTGCAATCAAGTCTTTATCAACTAGAATTGATTTAGCTCTTAATAGACCCAAGGTATTAACAGATCCAACATGTGATTCTAAGGCTGCAGAATTAACCCACTAAATATAACCAATTGATTAGAAATTAGTAGATTAATGGATCAATACGTTTATTTCAATTGAAAACATGTCTCACTTTATTTGTTGATTTCTTCCAAATCCGAACCGTTTTATCAACTGATCCAGATACAATGGCAATATTTTTTTGATTAAATTCATCTCCTGTATTTAATGACACACAAAAATTTTATTAACATTTGTTTTAGGAAAGAATTTTAAAACTGATATAATTGAATTGATAAAAATAACCTCTGTTAATGAAATTCACACAATTAACTTTATCAGTATGACCTTCTAATGTTTCAATTACGCCTTTACATTCAGGATTCTAGAATTGGAAAAAAATGCACTTAATTAACTGATCAATTAAAAACAAGAGTGGTTCATTCATTTTCTATCAAAAAAAACTGTATAGGCTTATTGTATACTTCTGGATAATATAAAGCAACATAATTATTAGCACCAAATGCCACTAAACCATCAATACCCCATGCAGCCACTTGTGAGACTCTATTACACCCTATATTTATATATTCAGTTGATAAATTGTGAATTATAGTAGACATTAATATTAAAAATTTTTTGTCAATCAAATGTCGCACGTGATCATGCCAATAACGTAATTTTTGATTTTGGCCAATTATTTATCATTTTTTTATTTCTGAAACCCAAAATAAATAATCCTTATTTGTAATTAATCTTTGATAAAATTAAATTACAACAAAGAACTTAAAGTAATATTTACAACATTACTAATCCTAAAAAAAATGAACGTTGGATTACAAAAAAGCCTATTTAACAAAACTCTTTTTTGGGATCAAAAGCTTAATCGTGGAAGTAAACGTAGGCGTTTTGTCGAAGATGAAGAGTATATCTTTGAACAAAAAGATAATTTTCACATAAGTACAGAATACTATCTAGCCGATAAAATCCAAATAACTATTACAAAGAAAATGAAATTTGAATTAGAAATGGCTTCTGGGTTAGCATAGTCAATTTATTTTATTTTTATATTGTTAGTAAAATGCGTATTTTAACTCTCGCTGGAAGCGTCATAAATATGCGTCAGCGAGGAGTAGTTTATATTATTTTATAATTAGTTATCCTCATAGCTTGGTTGTTATTATTACCAGTGTGGGATTTATGTATATAATTAAACAATTTAACTTTACTAATATTTGTGGAATCTTTTATTTATGCTAAAATATAATAGAAATAACACTACTATTCAAAGTCCTCAAGAAAACCATAATAATTTATATAATAATACCAATATTTCAAATCAATCCCAAATAGAACACATAGAAAACAGTCATCTTAAAGAACATTATTATAATTATGATCAACGAAAAAGTACCCAGGAAAGTTTCTCTTCAATTGACAAGCTTATTAATTGTAAGCTTCATATCTCAACCAGAACAAATCCGTATGAAGAGATCAACTCTATTTTAAATCATGCAAATCAACTGCGTAATACAAATCCAATTGATTGTATGGATGATTATGAAACACCAGTAAACAACAACTATAATTCTATCAATTCTCTTCTTAGAGAAGCATTTTTAAGAAGACATCATAATTAATGATGATTACATTTCTTTTCCCTCCTTTTTTAAAAATTTTTGAGATTTGAAAATTTTTATATATATTGTAATAACATAGTGATACAAATTTTATAATAAACTTCAAAATCCTTAATTTTTTTATTTTTTAAGAAAGTTTTTTAATACTAGATACTGCTTTATTTGAAATCAATACCTAGACCTAAGGATATATGGATTACAACCCTACTAATATATGTATATCCAATTGAACACATATGTATATACTTTGCAAATAAAGTTGTATTAATAGTGCAATCTGAAATTTTCGTCACCTGACTTGATACATTTTTCGGTTAAAGCCAAAATTTAACTAGGTGCATTTGTATATAGCAACAAAACCAAAATGAACATTTTGTATTACCAAAATTTCAGGGACCAAATTTTAGTCATCACCAATAAGGTTTCTGGTCCAAACTGTTTTCTCAAAGCCCAAACTAGTTTGGGCAATTTGGGCTTAACATTTTCTATAAGCATGAACATTAAAAAACTATATGAATCAACTTGTTTTAACTTAAACAACTTTAAAATAATTTCGCCCAATTTCGGCTAATAACAAAAAGTAGTTTGGGCTTATAAAAAAATAATTTTTGCCCAAAGTATTTGGGCAATTTCAGCTACTAATAGAAGCAGTTTCGACCAGAAACCTTAATCACCAATGTAATGTGATTGTGATTTAATCTATAATGATAGTAAAAATATAGATTAGAACAACCAATGAATAGGTAATGCTCATCAATGGCTTTCCATGAAATTGCTCCAGTAGTATTTATATATTATGTGTTTTTTTTTCTCTGAGTTGGATCAAAATAAATAAAAAATCACTTATTTTTTTTGTTATTATTTAATCCTTCCTTAAGCATCAATACCTTTGTCCTCAATATTGGTTGTATAATAGTCCATTATGACATTCATGATGATTATGCAATATATTGTTGTTAAATTTGTAAAATTGATTGCATCACCCAATGAAGTGTTAGATATAAGTATGATCACAAACATAGGGGAAATCAAATAATAAAACCTAATACAGTATATAGTAGAGATTTTTTATAAACTCAATTTACTATTAATTAATTAAAGAAATGTAAACTGTTATAACTCATCATACAGATGAAATTTTTTAATTGTGAAAAATGTTTTGAGCTTGCAGAACATGCATCTACAATGTAACAGAGCCATATCTACCAATATCAGCATACTTTCATATTGAAAATGCAATTTTCATCATAAATTCTAGATGTCTACTAATGCAAAATTTAAAAACATTTTTCACTTAGAAAGTCATGTGTAAAAATTCACGTTACATGTGTTCCATCATTGGAAATAAATTTGCAACATATTTGTTGCAAATGATAAAATAAAAATTAATTTACAAGTAACACATGTCAATCTATGCATATATATGTTTGTGGGATATAGTAGAATCAGAACTGTTTTTGATGCATATGCATGTTCATGTTATGCAAACAGCTCATAGGTCCTAATATGGGACAAGGCTATCTTATGCAAAATAGACAGATTATGCGAATAATCATAGTGGACAAATTCCTCATGAGCATAGTAAAGTACATGTTTTAAAAAAGAATAGAACTCTACAACAAATAATTTTTTTGAAAAAACCTCTCTATTACATTAAAACTAAAGACATCTTCTATCAACTAATAGAGCTATTTTTTTAAAAGGTAGGATAGAAAGTGACTTCTATACTTTTAGACCAAGCCAGCTATAGTAATAGTCAGTAAAAAAATTGTAATAATAAAATTATTTTCCTTCTAAGGGTTTCTGCTTTTTGTTAGGTAATAGCATACTTTCATTTTGCTAACATTTATTATTTTTCCTTCTTCTTGGTAAATTTCATAGGTAATCCTTCTTTTTTTAGATAAGCTTCAAGTGTCTTGGTATCATTTTTAAAAACATAAGGAGCAATTTTCTCACCTTGTTCCTTTTTTAGAATACTTCCAATAGTACTATAATTCTTGGGTTCTATAATAGACCTGATGTAAATTAACTTCATATTATTATTTTTGTATAGGGATAGTTCTATATATCACTTAAGATAACAAATGGGATATTATAAAACTGTTAATTATGATCACATTACAAA